TTGTGTTATTGCATTTCTCATAGTATGATAGTCATACTAATCAATTACATTATAATTTTTTTATAATTATGGTATTAATGTTATTGTAGTTGTTTACTTTTACCAAGTTTTTATTCTATTTGCAAGTCACCTAACTATGCAAACCTTGCCTATTTAATTAATGATTTGTTATACTCCATACAGGTGTATTATTTATATATGTTACAATTATACACAATAATGATGCCCACAAAGTATTTTAATACCACAGACAATATTTTATTTTTGTAGATTTAATGGATCCTTGCTAGTTTTAATACTATATATCTATATCTATATCTATATATATATATATATATATATATATATATATATATATATATATATATATATATATATATATATATATATATATATATATATATATATATATATATATATATATATATATCTATATATATATATATATATATATATATATATATATATATATATATATATATATATATATATATATATATATATATATATATATATATATATATATATATATATATATATATATATATATATATATATATATATATATATATATATATATATATATATATATATATATTAAATATACAACCCCATTTGAGTCGCTTTTTTGAAGGCTTTGCAAATAACTTATTTATCAAACAAATGGGGTAGGTGCTTTTTTTTGTATTGCATCTTCATCCCCCCCCGTCCTTTCGTGGGGAGGGGGCAGTAAAATCCGCAACCGACTTTTTTGACTAACCTCTTTAAAAAGCTAAACCCGCCCCTGCTTATATCCTATCCTGCATCCTATCCTAATAAGACAAATATAGTGCAAAACGCTTAAATTTAATTTTCATTTATTGCAATTGCATAACAAAATGAACTAAATTTAATATTTATTAAGTTTGCTTCAAGTATGCGGCTGAACTTTCCATAACTTATTAATTTTTTGTTCTGAATTCTGATTAGCATTGAAATAAATACTGTTTCAAATCTGAAAATAACGGTTGACAGGCATGACATCTACCAATGTATTTACTTTAGCCGTTCATCCTTATTCTAGGAAAGCCTAAACAGTACATACTTATTCAAGGAAAACCTAAACTTACTATTATAATTGTGATGCTAAAATATTTCTGAATTTCAGCTTTACTAATATTTAGAGTTTTTCCAGTTTTGCGCATTTGAAAAATATTTGTTTACTCAGCAAAGATTTTAAACTCTACTGACTTAAAGTAATTGAAGAAGTTTTAAAATTGATGAAGGATTTTTTTCTTCTAAATACAAACTAACTTTCCATTCAAAGCTACTTTCAAATGTACTTTTTAAATGTTAAAAAAAATTTAGATGTGAGATTAAAAGAAAGCCTATTCACACATGCAATTGTTAACATAGCAACGAAAGTCTTAAAAAACTTAACTAGTTTCACTATAACATTATTCTAACTATTGCGATAAAATAAAATGAAAAGTTTTTAGATTTGACCAAAGATTTATTTCGTGTGAAATAACCGGAAACAATTTTTAAATCCGTCAAACCATTAAACTGGAAACAATTTTTTTCGCCAGTGCTGCAAAGAAAAAGGTTTCTCTTACTGCATTTTACTCTCCTGCAACCTTTACAAACATTATACTTGCAGCTATGACTTAATTCTTTAATGCAGATAAGAAAGTGATTAAACTGGTCATAATGGACCTCCAGAACTGGCCTCTCTTCCGATCTGGCTTGCTTTGACGGTGATTTAACTGTATATGTCAATGTTAACAAATCACTTGAAACTATGATTGGTTTAGTTGTAAAAATTCTTGGTCTTTCAACTGGTCGGCAAGTATTTGATGTGGTCAAATGGACTCTTACTAGTGTGGCAGCTATTTCACTTCTGAAATTAAGCAGATCCAAAATCTGTCTTTTACTTTTTATTTTAGGTGCTCTAAGAAGTCCTTACGGTCTTATCACCGAGCACCGCGGATGAACATTTAATAGGAAGTTCACGCCTCCTTCCTAACCGATGTCGCTAAACTTGCCCAGAGGTGGAGTTTGAACCACGGATCCTTCGTTTCTGAGAGTGAAGTGCGTTACCACTGCTCCACGGCAACTCTATAAATACTTTAATGTCTCAATTATCAAGCCATGAATTTACTAGCAAAAAATCCATGAAGAGAACAACCATGCGTTCAGACCACTCCTATTGTTTTCTCTTATTCAGTGCAGAGCAATGAGAAAGTTTTGTCCACTATCCCATGTTTTCATTATTGATTTTTGCATATTTTAACGGGAACTCAATCAGTCTGTTGTCTTATACGACATCAAGTAAATAAATCCCTAGCGACTTTAAATATCTTATAAGATTTATCCCAGTGAAGTAATTATCAAAAATAATCTTGATATTTTTATATTGTAGACTGGTGACAATTTGAGGGCAATAGAAGCACTAAGGCCCCGGTGTTTTTTCAAAAATTTTACTGCTAAAAAAGATTAAAAACATTTTGTGAAGAAGCCTTGAATGTTGCAAACATTTTCAACTAACACCCTAAAAGGCCATGTTGAATTATTTGTTTGTTCATTAGTAAAAATTGAAATTTGACGGGAAAAAAATCAATTTTTATTTTCTTTGTGATATTATTACTAATGATTGTTTTTAGATATTTAAATAAATTGATAAATTGCTTTTAAATAGTTTTTAACTTTACTTTAGTTCCTCCCACTTTTGATGGCTTTATTTTGATGAATGGTGGATTGTTTTGACGGATTTATTTTAAAGTTTTAATTTATTGATTGTGAACTCAAATAATGTAAACAAATAATTTCACTCTTCTCAAAGCAAAATTACATTTATTATTAAGAAATATGTTTCTTAAAAGAAATTTTTTTGTTTTAAGAAAAATATTTCTTAATTATGGACAACGGATTTACGATTTTGCCGGGAATCTAAAAATAAGAAATATATTTCTTGTTTTAAGAAATTAATTTTTGACAAAGCATTTTATTTCTTAAAAAATATATATACTTCATGTTTAAAGAAATGGACAATGGACAATGGATTTACGATTTTACTGGGTTAAAGACTTAATTCATTATATTTGTTAAAAAATTTCATTAAAAACTCACGCTGAATTGATTGCAAAAAATTCTTTCAAAGAACGTTTGACACAATGGGATTACCATAAAACATAAAAACAAGTTTGACAATTTTTTGCCAACCTCAAACACTTTTAGGTTGGCAGTTAGGTTTAATTGCAGAAAATCTTTTTGCTTTTTGTGTTTGAAGTGATCATTTATTAACTTTATTTTTGGTTTAAAGAGTCAAGAATATTTTCAATAAAGAGAAAACTTTTACTGCAATCTATGCAGAAGCAAACTGCTATAACTTTATACTGGTATTAATAGACAAATACCATACTTGTGCAACTTTAATTCGACGATTATTAAACCATCTAAGTGCTTGCCATTATATAGTTTGTAGGGTTGCCAAATCAAAGTTCAAAATAAGATCTACCACAAATTGAGCTTGACATACTGAATCAAAGTACAAAATACAATACAAATAAAATCTAGCCTGAAACTGTCATATCAAAACTTCCAGTTGCATCCTTTCATCATCCCAGCCAGCTGGAAAAATGAAGTTTTTTTTAGTACATAAGAACATCCTCACTTTTGTACTATAGGTGCAAGGTAAGAAAATGTGCAAAAACTTGTTGTAGTGGACTCTAAATGTATTGGCCAAATGGCAGTTAGTTTGCTCTCTAAAAAAGATGCTTTTCTAGGAGTTGCTGTCAAACGTAAATTTAACCAATAAAATTAAAATCACATCATTTAGTCAAACTTGGAATTGATGGAGGTGGTTTGTTTATGTAAATTACTGTAAGCGTAGTTAACAAAAGTCAAAGAAAGTCCAAGGTAAGTTAGACTCAAGAAGCATTTTGTCTGCAATCAAACTCTTCTCCCCGGATGGTGGCGTAAAAAAAACATGATTTGGTTGCTGCAGAAGAGGGTCAGAAAAATATGAAAATCTTAGAATGCTATTGAGCCTCATTCAAGTTGAAGACGTGTCTTACATAGTTTAATGTGATATGAAAGAAGCCAAACATTTTTGTGGTATTTAGTCTCACTATAGCAAACACCCGTGATGCTAGTGTGATGTCGAGTCTGACAACCTAACTAATCTAGAACATTTAGTTCTTTATGCTGCAGCTGTTGAATTTTTCTCTTTAGATGCAAAACCTCAACTGGCTAAAAATTATTCAAATGTTATCCATCCTTTATTGATTAACCCCTACAGACAATCTGAACATATTAATAATGTAATTTTTCTGATGAAAATCTTTTTCTTAGAATATTTAGATCACCAGCACTGCATCAATATAGACGTTTTAGGTTGAATGTCATGGTAATGGAAAAATATTTGGTAAACTATTAGACTATGTCAACCTGACCAGGAAACAATGGAAAACGAAATAAAAACCGGATCTTCTTTGAGATTTTGATGATTTTTTAATGAAACACCTTGCATAAGGGTGTTTAAAATGGGTGTATTCACTGAAATATGTAGTATGACTATTTATTGCAAACACATTAGTTTATGCATTGGTAAATTTTACTTTGATCTATTGATGTTTAATAAATAACAGTTTTAGAAAATTTATATCTTAAAAATCAACGAAAAATAGTAAGACAAAATTTATATAACACACATCTTTAATCAATAGCAAATTGGCAAGATTTAAAAATTTAAGTTATTTTTAATATTTTATGTAGTTAAATATCATTAAATAAATCATATACATGTTTTTTTTTTTTCATTGGAAAATGTCTGAATTGACTCTCTAAATTTTCATACTTGAGAATGTGACTGCCATTTTCATCAATTTTTCTCCGTGTGATTTATTAAGTTCTGACGTTGAAAACCTCTTCATTGTTTTATTTACGTTTTTGTGTACAGAGGTTTGTTCATTGAAAACACCCAAGGATCTTTGTTTTCTTTCAATAAAACTTGTATTATGTGGAATTTCTATCCCAGGCTAAGAGAGTAATTTGTATGATTCTTAAGATAGTTTTCTAAGTTGCACATTTTGGTTACAAAATCTTTGATGTCTTTGCCAAAATCTTGTGATAGCTCCATTCCAAAACAGATCTTATTGACTAAAAGAAAAGATTTTAAAGTTATATATAGATTGTTTTTTTTTTGTAAACATTTTACCATAAACTAATTGCTAACTGTTCTAAACTTCCTTAATGTTTCAATGCAAGGTATAATGTGAGGAGGACATATATCTCTAAGTTCATCCAAACATGACAGGACTTTGTGACATTTGGTCCATCATACCCTCCTCCATTATATCCATATCTGATAACTGTTTTACTTAATAAGTAGTTTTTAGTGAACTCATCAGCCATTAGCACATCTGTAACTTGAGTCACTATATGCTAATATAAAAACAGTTCAGGAGGTGGTACTATGTCAATTACCAGAGTCTCTGGATTTTCTTGTAGCAAACATCGACTAACAACATGTTTGTAAATCTGCATGTTCTTGTATTGCTCGCCGTCTTCTACATACTTTAGGTACCAATCATTAGGACTTTGAAATGTTTTTAACAGGCCAGTGGACTCTTCTTTCATTCCTTCGCAATAGCAACAGGCAAACTTTCCACCATGCCCCTAATAATAAAAATTCAATAATGTTATTTTAATGAATTTTATTTCAAATTAAAATGCTTATGCATAAATTAATTATTTCAGTTTCTATCAAAATAACTTACTAAAAGACCCAACATACTGTTGATTAACTTGAGATTTGCTGCCACATAAAATTTGAGTATTATTTTTTATTTAATTTTGTCATCTCAATTAATCTTCCTAAGTTGTAATTGCTCTTTTGAACTCCACGTGCAATGGCCAAAATTTTCACTTTACTGACGCCAGTGAGCTTAAAGTTTTTATAGTCTGCTGAAGACTCTGGATTAAAAATGTTCATTACAATTTTTAAAGACCCTTAACCACCATCAATTCTCACCCGAATAATGCAATGGAATGGATTCAGATCTCTTTGATTGCATATTTCTTCTACTAGTTTCCATGGTTCATGAACATACACGACATCTTTAGAAATTACTTCAAAAGCCTTCTTTTTAGCAACCTAAAGAATTTTTTCAGAAGATATATTATAAAAGAGAATATTTATAATACTTGAAGAAATGTTTAAAATATGTAGTAACTACCTTATAACTGCGCTGAAATTCAATTGTCTGATTGTGATAATACTTTTCAAGAATAAAGAACTTGTCTTTAATGATCTTTGATGCATTTGACTCAATACCTTTGCACCCTAAGTCTTTTCTAATCTCAGTCATCATACATTCTATAGCTGTCATTGGAAGATCTGTTTTCTTTTTTATGTTGAATAACGTGTTGGTAGAAATTTCCCTCAGTGGTGCCTGTTTTGGATACAAATTTACTTTCATTGAAATACCACCTATTTAGAAAATAAATTTTATTATAATAATTTAATTTAAAAATTTACTTAATCAACTTTTAAATGAAACTTAGTTGTTGCAAGATTTAAAGTTTTGCTTCCCTCTTTTGTAGCCAATTCCTTCAATATAGAAGATACAACTCTCTGGGAAATCTTTGAATCTTTCGATTGTATGAGATACTGTAGATTTTGAATTTTATCCCTCTGTCCACATGAATGTCTGATACCTTTACCCACCTTCTGATGGCAATGCGAGCAAAATGATTCATCAAGGTCTGCAGAGTTACTTTGTTTAGTTGACGTTTCATTTACAAATTCTGATAGGTTTAATTTTTTATGGCTTCTTCTATCTTGTCCAATCCTGCAAATCGGACATTCACACAATAATCTGCAACAACTATTCTTCCCAGTTTTTTTAAAACAAATGAACCTTTTTTCCAGGACTCTTCCACTGATTTACTAAAACTTAAATCGTTCTATAAAATTTTTAAAATTACAAACTTTTAGTTAATTTTATATCAAGCTTTAAAATGCATATTACAACATTATGCAATTACATATTACAATGCATATTACATGTTATGTAAAAAAACCATAACTATACTTGCCTTCTTTAAATACAAACTTTTAACTCACAAGTGCCACAAATGCCAGATGGACAAGAATTCATTTCTATATTAAAACCATGATTCACAAACTGTGTCGCCAACTTAATCAATTCTGTCTTTTCTTCAAGTAGAGTACATTTTATGTCCTTATTTAGGCAACAGAAGCATATCACTTTTTAATGTTCCGAATGACATCTAGCTCTTGTCAAATCCATTTAAATTAAATTTTTAGATTTTCTAATAATTTTCTAAAATCTATCTAATAAAATAATTTTAATTAAAATCTTTTCCAATAGTTATACTAATCTAAATTTATGTTTATTATAATAATATAAAAGAGGGCGTATATAAAAGAGGGCGGCTAAATTGAGCAAGTTATCAGATTACTATTATTTTTTCATATCGATTATTATCAAAGCAATCATTTATATTATATTTTAAAAAAAAATGGCTAAAAATTTTACACCATCCCAAGTAAAAGAATTATTGGATATGCACGAAAACACTTTACTTAAAATATTTAACGAACGCTTTCAAAAGCTAGAAAACGACTTTTCAATAATAAAGGAAGAAAATAAGTATTTAAAAAAAGAATTAGAGCAAATTAATTCCACTATTCAATTCCTAAGCGACAAATACGAAACAATTAAAGAAACATTAAACAATAATAAAAATAAAATATCCCCTCAAGACAATTTTAAACAAAAAGCAACAAATCTTGAAAACAAATATCTTAAAGACAAGATGGCAGAGTTAGAGGACAAAAGTCGTCGTAACAACCTTCGGTTTGAAGGAATCGAAGAAACTGAAGGAGAAACGTGGAAAAACAGTGAGGAGAAAGTGTAAAAGCTAATAAAAGAAAAACTAAATATAAACGAAGAAATACATATAGAACGTGCGCACAGAACCGGGAAGAAAGAAGACAACGACGGTAAAATATGAAGAAGAAGAACTATAGTAGTTAAATTTCTAGATTATAAAGATCGTGAAACTATACTAGATAACTACAAAAAGCTGAAATTATGGAACGAAAAGATGTATATCAATGAAGATTTTAGTGAGAGAACAATCAACATTCGCAAACAACTATTCATTAAAGCCAAAGAAATACGTTCATCAGGTAATTTTGCCAAAGTTGTTTATAATAAATTAATCACCAAGTCTTTCGAAAAGACTATCTGATTATCAAAAAAACAAAAACAAAAAAAAAGGGTTTTATATATATATATATATATATATATATATATATATATATATATATATATATATATATATATATATATATATATATATATATATATATAATATGTTCACATGTGTGCGTACATATATACCAGTGTATATAAAAACCTTCAAATATTTTCAAAATAACAAAAACATACAAAATGGATTCAACTTATCGGAATGATTTTGAAAAAATATCAAATTTATTTCAAACAAATACTTTTAATTTAGACAATGAATCTGATCCAGATATTAATTATTTTAATGAGATTAATGGATCAAAATTCGAATGCTCTTACTTTTATCCAGATAAAATTAAAAGCATATTTAAAAATAATGATAATCGTGATTATTTTAATATATTCGACATTAATATCATAAGTTTAAAAAAAAAATTTGTTAACTTTTTAAATATGATTTGTCAAACGGAAAATTTTTTTAACGTTATTTGCTTAACTGAAACTTGGTGTACAGAGGAAGATATTAAATCAAACTCTAATCTCCATATTACAGGTTTTAATACAGTCTTCTTAGAGCGTAATGTTAATAAGAGTGGAGGAGGAGTTCTTTTTTACATAAAAGAAAACCTTGCGTATAATATTCGAAGCGATATGAGTGTTTCTGATGATAATATTGAGACTTTAACGGTTGAAATAATAAATAAAAAATCTAAAAATATTTTACTAAGCTGCTGTTATCGGCCACCAACCGGAAGAACTGAGTACCTAAGCAATTATCTAGTTCATAATATAATAGAAAAAACTAGCCAAGAAAAGAAAAAAAATTATATACTGGGGGATTTCAACCTTGACTGCTTCCAGTATAATGAAAAAAAATATATATAACAAAGTTTTATAATCATTTATTTGAAACGGGAACAATACCCATTATAAATAAACCTACTAGAATTACAAAGTCTTCATCCTCCTTAATTGACAACGTTCTTACCAATGACTTTTTCAATATCACACTCAAAAAAGGTATTATAAAAACTGATGTTTCGAATCACTTTTCAATTTTTTTCTGCTTCGGCGCTAACCACAAAACAAATACGAATGGTAAAATAACATTAAAAAAACGAATTTATAGCAACAATGACTTAAATTTAATTAAAGAGCAACTTGTACACCAAGACAGGAGCTATATAAACTTTAATGAGGATATAAATATCATCTACAAATCTTTTTTTAATATATTTTACAAAATATATGAAGCAAATTTTCCTATTCGAGAAATAGTTCTTAACGCCAAAGACATATCTTGTCATTGGATAACTAAAGGAATAAAAAAATCATCAAAAATAAAACAAAAACTCTATATTAATTATCTTAAAAATAAATCCGACAAACATAAAAATAACTACACAGTTTCCAAAGATCTATTTGAAAAACTCCGAAAAAAAGCCAAACAAATTTACTACTCTGACTTGCTTATAAAACACAAGCATAATTCAAGGCGGGTGTGGCAAATAATGAAAGAAATTACTAGCAAACATAAGAAAAACACAAATACGATGCCGAATGCTATAAAATTTGAAAATTAGTTAATTAACGATTCAAATGAAATCGCAGCCGAATTCATTTGAATCGGTAAACTTCTTTTCGTCAATAGGACATAACCTATTAAACAAGATTCCTTATGTAGACAACAACTCTGTTGATGAATATATATCATCACCAAATTCAACTATAAATTTTTCAAATCTAACTTATAATGAATTCGAAATTGCATTTAAATCATTAAAAAGGAATAAAGCAATAGGGCCTGATGATATAAATGGAAATTAAAAATACCCTCTTAATTAATGAGATTAAAGATATCCTCTTCGAAGTCTTCAAAGCATCTATTACTCAAGGATCGTTTCCAAATAGTTTGAAAATAGCCAAAGTAACTCCAATCTTTAAAACAGGTGACCATACCAACATAACAAACTATCGTCCTATCTCAGTTCTACCGGTCTTTTCAAAAATATTAGAAAGAATAATGTATAATAGAATTTACACTTATCTTATTGATAATAAACTCCTTTATAAAAATCAATTTGGTTTTCAGAGAAACAGTTCTACTGAACACGCTATTCTCCAAGTAACACGCAGTATTGCCGATTCATTTAAGAATTCTCAATTCACACTAGACATATTCATTGACTTGTCAAAAGCTTTTGATACTGTTAATCATCATATTTTAATAAAAAAGCTAGAGAGCTATGGTATAAAAGATAAAACCCTAAATTGGTTCAAAAGCTATCTAAGTAACCGCAAACAATTTGTTTATAACAAAGAATCTTCATCGCAAATAATAAAAAATATAACATGCGGTGTCCCCCAAGGGTCCATACTTGGACCACTATTATTTCTATTATACATAAATGATCTTTACAAAGCTTCTACCCTAACGACCGTAAATTTTGCAGATGATACGAATTTATTTCAGTCGCACGAAAACATAGAAATACTTTTTAATAATATAAATAATGAATTAAAAAGAATATCATATTGGTTTAGAAAAAATAAATTGTCCTTGAATACGGATAAAACAAAGTTTATACTTTTTCACCCAACCTCTAAAAAAAAGAGAATCCAAAATATTTTACCTGACCTATTCATTGACAATACAATCATAAAAAGAGAAAAATTTACAAAATTTTTAGGAGTCATAATAGATGAAAACTTATCTTAGAGTCAGCAAATTGATAGTATTTCAATGAAAGTTGCTAAAAATATTGGAGTTCTATACAAAGCTCGATATATACTAAATAAAAAGCAACTAACTCAACTATATTATTCATTTATTCATTGCCATATAAACTATGCCAATATTATATGGGGAAGCGCTCACAAAACCAAACTTAAATCTCTCTATCGGCATCAGAAACACGCAGCTCGCATAATTAATTTTGGAAATCGTTTTTCAAGCTCAAAATCACTTCTTATAGAAATGAAAGCTTTAAATATATACGAACTAAATATTTTTAACATTTTATGTTTTATGTCTAAATGTAAAGAAAATTTATCTCCAAGTGTATTTATAAATCTCTATAATTTGAAACCAAAAAACAAATATGAACTTCGTGATAGTAAAAATATTCAAGAGCCGTTTGCATAACAAAAATTGACCAGTTTTGTATTTCTTATCGTGGTCCATTTCTTTGGAATAAAATAGTTTTACCTAACTTTGATTTTTCTTTTAAATGGTCTTATTCCTCCTTTAAAAAGAAAACAAAAGAAATAATCTTTTCAACACAAAATATATTTATTTATTTTTAGTATTTCAAGTTATTTGATATTTTTGTCGACTGTGTGATGAATATTATTTAAACAATATATGCTGAATACTTTATACTATAATATTGTTCAATATTGAGAATGTTATATATCCATATTTTAAAATATTATGTTAAAACTTGCTTAACATCTGAAGAATATTCTAACGCTTATGTAATTTTTAATATTTGTAAATTTTCTACCTTTTAATTCGTTATATAGATTGTAAAGGGCTTCATGATAAGATCATGTGATCTTCTGGAAGTCCTACCAGTAATATATTCAATGTAAATTTACCTTGTTCATATTTTTCTGGAAAAAAAACTTGTTAAATTAAATTAAATAAATTTAAATTTATATTCAAATGGTTTACATTTAAATTGAGTCAAAAATTATAAACTTTTGATAATAAACTCAAATATCAATGTTTTTTACTCAAGAACCAGTGTTAAAATGCATAAGTACATATATATTTTAAACATGAAAAATATGAATGTAACATAAACAATTGTAGACACACGGTGTATATATTGATTAGTTTTATTAATACTATACTAGTTTACACACCCTATATAATAAACACCCTTTTATAGGGTGTTTCAGTAAAAAAATACCAAAATCTCCCAAGAAGATGCGGTTCTTACTTCGTTTTCAGTTGTTTCTTTGTCAGGTTGACATAGCCTAATAGTTTGCTAAATATTTTTCCATTACCATGACATTCAACCTAAAACGTCTATATTGATGCAGGACATGGTGATCTTCTTGTTT